GGGTCGGCAAATCCCCCGTTTGGGAGAAGGGGAGAGTTCGTTCGGTCCTGAAGGGCCACCCCGTTTCGAGTGGAGGGCCACCCCCCGACTCCCCCCCGGCGGGTTCCCGCGGACCGGGCCGGGCCCCCGGCCCCCAGCCCCCCGGCCCCCCGGCCCCCAGCCCCCGGGCCCGGGCGCTACTCACGCGCCCTCGGCGCCCTGCGCGCCCACGATGAAGCCGAACTTGTCGATGCGGCGCTCAGCGAAGCCGTTGGCCTCCGAGTCGGAGCCGAGAGAGCTGAGCTCGTCGGTGGCTGCCGCATCGGGGCCCGGGGCCAGGTTTTCGCGGGTCCCCGACAGGCTTCCCCCGGCCGCGGGCGATCGCGGCCCGTTCTCGCCAGGGCTCTTCGCCATCACGGCCGCGCCCGCCGCCTCAGCCTCAGCGGACACCTCGCCACCTCAGCCGCCCCAGCCGCCCAGCCGCCGCCGAGGCCGCCGCCGCCCCGCCCATGCCCCGCACCCATTGGTCGCGGCAAGGCCAGAGGCGGGCTCTCCTCCCACACCCAATGGGCGACGCGGACCCCGGGGTCCGCCCACCTCCCCCAGGACGGCGCCAACAGGCCCGACGTGAGGAGGCGGGGCAGCCCCACTTCCCCTCGGGGCTGCCAATCACGGGAGCTCACCTGAAAGCGTTCCTCTGGCCTTTCCGGGTTGGCCGGAGCCGGGTCGGTCACCTGTAAGGCCGTGCCTGACGGGGCGGCGGGCGTCCGCTGAGGATTCCGCATCTTCCTCCCGGCTCCTCGCGAGACCCCCAGGACGTGGGTGAGGATGATTTCATCTGCTCATTTATGAGGGGCTCGGAGGAGATTCTGGATGCGTTCGGGGACTAGCAGCCCCTTCCCCCTGCTCACTGCTTCTGGGGCTTTAAGTGAGCTCGTGGGAGACCTTTGAAGAACAACAACCAGCCCCGGCCCGTTTGGCTCAGTGGATAGAGCGCCGCCCACGGACTGAAGGGTCCCGGGTTCGTTTCGGGTCAAGGGCAGGGACCTCGGTTGCAGGCTCAATCCCCGGCCCCAGGTGCAGGGGTGCTTGGGGGAAGGCAACCAGATCATGTGACTCTCTCACATGGATGTTTCTCTCTGTCTCTCCCCCTCCCTTCCATTCTCGCTAAAAAAAATCAATGGAAAAATATCTGGTGAGGATTAACCAACAAACAAGGATAATAACCAGAGGGACATCTGTAAAAGTGTCAACAATAAAAAATTAAAAAAGGAATAACTGATGTTTATTGAGCCATGCACTGGCGACTTTCTCTTACAATCTTCCCACACACACACATAACTTTGAGATATAATCAACCTACTGTAAAAATTACCCGTTTAAGCCTATAGAGTTGTTAAAACATTTTCATCACTCCCAAAAGAAATTCCTATCCACTAGCAGTCACTCCCCAGCCTTCCTCCCCCAGCCCCTGGCAACCACTGTCTCCATAGATTTGCCTTTTCCTGGATATTTCATATAAATGGGACTATATATGCCCTTTGTGCATCTGGCTTATTTCATTTATTTTAGCATATAGTGTTTCCAATTTCCATTCATGTTGTAGCTGATACCACTACTTTATTTTTTTTATGGCTGAATAATATTCCATTGAATGGATAGACCTCATTTTGCTTATCCATTTGTCAGTGATGGTCATTAGGGTTGTTTCGACTTTGGGGGCTATTTTGAATAATGCTGCTATGAGCATTGAGGTACAAACTTTTGTGGGAAAATATTTTTGTTTCTCTTGGCTAAATATCCAGAAGTGGGAATTTCTGGGCCCCCTGGTAACTCTGTTTAAACCTTTTGAGGAACTGACAAGCTGTTTTCCAAATTGTTCAACCATCCATCTATATATATAAAAACCTAATATGCAAAGTATCCCCTCTGGAGTTCAACCAACTGAGAGTTCAATCACTTGCTATGACATGCACTGACCACCAGGGGGCGGCATGGAACGGAGGAAGGCCCTGGCCAGCAGCCACTAGGGACTCTGCCCGTGCACAAATTTTGTGCACTGGGCCGCTAGTCTCTTTTAGCAACAAGGTAGATACTATTATTAGTCCCCTTTTACAGTTAAGAAAACTGAGGTGCAGGGAAAGTGACATCATCGGCCTATGGTCCCAGAACTAGCTGTGGCAGAGCCAGGATTTGAACCTAGCTCTTACCAACCACTTATATTGGGAGGCATGAGCCCATTGTATCAACACAGACTTAGCTCCCAGCAGCCTACTTCTGACCCCAGGGATTGTCAGCACTTGGAGCCATAATGCAAGCTCCTCACCTAAGTCCAGTACCATGTTGTCATCTGACAATCTATAGAGCTGTAAGGGAGACAGGCCAGAGCCGGGAAGGGACCGAAAGAGGCAGACCTGAGCGGCAGGGCCTGGAACAGGCTGGCTGGCTCAGGGGCCCGAAGCGAGCCCCAAGAGGCGGGTCTTAAGACTTCGGTGATCTCACCAGTCATTTCCTTGTTGCCGTGTGGCCCAGACATTCTTGAAGACTTTGCTGTACAGTCTTCACATTCCATAGGCTTCTGGTTTTCCATAAACAGGGCAATAGCAGACATGGGAGTGGGCACAGGCTATTTTGGTCTTAAATTCTCAGTCTGGGAGGATGTTCCTCCTCTCCAGTGGCTCCAGACAGAGTGGTGGGCTCTCAGTCCCAGCTCCCAGGAGGGGTAGAGTGGGCCTCACATCAGGATGTGGGCCTATCCCAAGAAAGGGAGAGGAGCCATACACCTGGAGCAGATATGAAGCCCCAAGGCTGGCAAAGTATCTACGGCCCTTTGACTCCATAATTCTGGTCCTGCATTTTAGTGGGTGCCATAATGGGTGCATCTGAATGGGTCTTTAGAAAATTCAAAGGTGAGGAAGCTTCAGGAGCAGTCTGATTCAGAGGTTGCCACCAGGGCTATCAGCCTTTTTTCTTTTTTCTCCTTTTCGTTCTTCCTATGGTTGCTTCACCCTCAAGTTAGAGCCCCTCCTGGCAGCAGCTCTGGACTCACCTCTCTTTTTTTTTTTGTAAATATATTTTATTGATTTTTTACAGAGAAGAAGGGAGAGGGATAGAGAGTTAGAAACATCCATGAGAGAGATCGATCAGCTGCCTCCTGCACGCCCCCCACGGGGGATGTGCCCGCAACCAGGGTACATGCCCTTGACAGGAATCGAACCTGGGACCCTTGAGTCCACAGGCCGACGCTCTATCCACTGAGCCAAACCGGTTCGGCTAGACTCACCTCTCTTTTTCACGCATCCACACAATGAATGACTCTTCTGATAGCTTCTGCTCAATGGTGAATCCTGGGTGGTCTTATGTAAGAAAATTAGGCAGCCTTTACTTGAGAAACATCTATCCTTTTTTTTTTTGGTTAATCCTCACCTGGAGATATTTTTCCCCATTGATTTTACAGTGGAAGAGAGGGAGGGAGGGGGAAGAGAGAAACATTGATGTGAGAGAGACACACTGATTGGTTGCCTCCCGCACATGCCCCAACTGGGGCCAGGGTTCAAACCTACAACCCAGGTGCATGCCCTTGACCAGGAATCGAACCTACAACCTGACCATTTGGTGCAAGGGCCAACACTCTAACCATTGAGCAACTCCGGCCAGGGCGGTAGGATTCTTTTTCTTTTCTAAACAGTGGATAGAGCGTTGGCCCTCGGACTGAAGAGTCCCGGTTCGATTCCAATCAAGGGCACATATGTGGGTTGAAGGCTCAATCCCTGGCCCTGTTCAAGGTGC